GTCCCTTTATGCCCCTCGGGTATTTCAGTCAAGGAGGGCAAAGTTAAGATGGGGTCTGGTCCCTTAAATCTTGTAAGGTTAAGACATCTGTTGTGCTACCTTACTACACTTGTACCCTCTGTACAGAAAATGATTCCCAGTCTGACACCCTGTCTTCCTCTGGGCACTCTGCACAGCCTTCCTTTTTTATTTACGTAGGAATATATATCCAACATGTTTGATTTAATGGGCAAATATGGTCCTCCATATATGTCAGGCTTTTCAGCCTTCTGGCCCAGGAAACTGTTAGGATCCAAAATGTTTTTTTCCAGGGTTTACAAACTGGAGTTTTATTTTCTGCCTCCTCCCTACTTCATGTTTTCAAACTCATCTCTGTACCAGCACAGATGGGTGAATCTTCTTTCTGCTGTTCAGCAGCTCCCTCCCAAGGAGTTATTGCCCCAGTCTAGGGTTTCTACTTGAGCAAGTGCATAATTATTAAGCCAAATGGAGAAATGGTTAATTCGTATTCTGAACATACTCTACTGCTTACTTTCACATTCCCATTTCTTTTTCCTCCTGCCAATGCAATCTGCAGTGTGCAGTTAACACACATTACCAATTTTTAGATTTTTCCTTTGGATGACCATGGCCTCGCAGGCTTTCACCAAAGGACTTCACCTGGTCCTGGCTATGCTTCATTCTCACGGATTTTGCGCTGTGGTTTACTTCCGATATTCTCCTGCTAAGGGATTAGTTCTCCCTAGGTCTGCAGCGAACAGTGCAGAGAATCATTTGGATTTTCAACTAGTTGAAGTTCATACTGGAGCCGGCTCATCAGTTATAGGTACCTGGGCCTCACATTGCCCAGTCCAGGATCTTCCTGCCCTTGGACAAACTTTGGTTTCTCTACTCTCATGCTTGTGCCCTTCTGTTACAGAGTCATCCTTCAATTTTTTACCTGCATGATGGTCTTGAACCTGATGGTAGCCTCCATTGATGCAGTGCTGTATGCCCAATTTCATTTCGGACTCATCTTGCAGCTTGAGACAAACCGACTCAACCACTGGATCAATGCATATGTATGACCTGCAACCCATCGCTGGAGTTAGGGAAACCCATTTCACCCAAAGATGGGGAAAGTTTTCATGATGGGAAAAATCCAGTTGGACCTTACCTAGGCAGTTGCCTGCATCAGTCATCAAGGGGGAACTATAAGTCAAACCAATCAATGGAACTAGACATGGTCCTCTCTTAGGGAGAACTGCATGTTTCCGCCCAGTCAAAGCTCTAGGCATAGAAAATTAGTAGGCAGACTACTTTCAGTTGTCAGTGTCTGGATCCAGGTTAACACGTTCTCAATCCACAGGTGTTACAAGCCTTTTGCCACAGTTGGGGGACAACAGAAATGGCTTTTCTGACACCCAAATTCTACATCTGGTAATGTCCTCATTCTGTCTGCTCAGGACATTGGTGCAATCTTTTTGTCTTAATCTTAAATATCCTGAGAAAGTTCTTTACTCTTTGGCTGTTGTATAAGCTGTTCAGGTTTATCTGAAGTCTAGCTTCTTTTTCAGCAGGTTTATTCCCTGTTTGTTCTACCTGAAGGTTCTTGCAAGGGTCAGGCTGCTTCTCGATCCACTATCTCATTTCTCAGGCCTATGGTTTCAAGGGTACCAGGAGTGTCAGTGCTTCCAGGGCGATTCGGCATCAAGTTTCTGTTCCAGTTTGTTAGGCTGTTACCTAATGACACATTTGTCAAGTTTATCTTTTCAAAGTAGATTTTTTATTAAAGTTTTCACATTTTTGATACAATCAAACCACATAGACAGTTTCCATAGCCTCCATTTTGTGGACATAAAAAAGCATGTATAGTGCTCAAGTACAACCAAGGCACAACACTAATTGTGCATGTCCATGAACATATATTAGGAGTTGTCCATTCCAAGAGCTGTATATCTATATTTAAGGTGTTACAAATAAAATTATTATATTTTATACGCAGAGGTCTATGGGTGTTTTTCCCAAGATTTGCATGCCTTACACAACACTTTCATCTATTAACCCTTGCTCACCACAGCGCAATCCCAATCATTTACAGACAGCTCTTAGCTCATTACAAACACTTTTTTGTTTAATACACCACAGCTATACTAAGTAATTCTTTTTCTCCCAATATTAAAATATTTCACCTCTGAAATAGTTGCTGCACTACTAAAGTAAGAAGGGAGTTAATCCAAGGATCCCAGAGTTTGTTAAACTTCTAAGGACATCCCCTCTTTTGGTAAATCAATTTTTCTTTCTGAAGAATGCCATTCACCTGCTTACACCACTTTACCAACGTGGGAGGTTGCGGCAAGATACACTTCGTTGCGAGAGTCTTGAAACAGGGATCAGGGATGATAATTCATCATCTAGAGCTCACGGTAGACACACTAACAGGTCCTAGACAATGGCAATGAAGAGGTTTTAGACTTTATGGTGTTCACTGTAGCTTTGCAATATCAGAATAGCTTGGGTCACCTTCAAAGCATTTGTAGCAGGTGAGCCAGGTCTGTTAAAACACCTTGGGCAGTCTGGGCTGTCTCTGCAATTCCACTGAAAGAGCTTTTGGAGAGTCTGGTCCACTTTATGCAATATTAATAATTGCATTTGCAAAGCTTTACCAGGTGGATGTTCACTTCTCTGGAAACAGATGTTTACGATGCTGCAGGGTAGCCTGACCATGATGAGGTGAAGACTGAGTCTTTTGGCTCTGCTGCACATAATATAAGCTGCCTTTCTCTTGGAATGTGAGGATTCCTAAATGCCTTTAGAGGCACTTTAGGCACAAGCTAGGGAATTCCTAGATGAAGCTGGGAGCCCAAACCAGCTGGCTTCAGCAGAGAGCGCTATTGTGCTATAATTTTCTGCGATTGTTTGGGTTTGAGTGTGCCTCCCAGCCCTGGGTGTGAGCTGGCAGAAAGTGTACGCAGGTGTCACTGACACCCCCTGTACATGCTCAGCTTGGCCAATAAGTCGCATCCTGGGCTATTCCCCTCTCCATAGCACAATCTGCTATGTGAGCATGGGCTCGAAGGCCTTCTTTTGGTGCGACACTGGGAGGCCACCCTCCATTCCCAGTGATGTGAATATTGCTCTCTTTGCAGGCATGGCAGATCTGACACTAGGGGGACTTAGTCTAGAAGGGCTAAACTCCCAAATGCAGTTGGATACTGCCTTCATTTCACAAACTCATTTGTGGGGCAACAGACTGGCTCTGAGTTAGCATTTTCACCCACTCCTTAAGAAGCTCCTTCCTCAGGAACCTTGGTGTTCAGAGAGGAATTCTTGGGTGCCTTTTCCACTCTGCTGAATCAACTGGCAGATATCTTTGATGGTTTACAACAGAATGACCATAACCATTCTAGGTCTATGCCCCCACTGTAAAACCAAACTAAATGGAGGTATATAAATTTGTGGGCATCGCTATATATAGTAAATACTGTCCAGTAACCAAAAAACCTATACAAAAAAACAATGTGAACAGAGTGTTCACAGAAGAAAAAGCGGTTACATAAAGTACAAGGCGATGCACATAAATGTAGTCATAATGCTTTTATTAGCAAAATTGCAGTATGAAACAATTGAGTAAATACTGCATGATAGCCATCACCTCAGTCGATGACAATACAATATAACCTAAAAACAAAAAAAAAATTTTTTTTTGTGACAAAAAAAAGTGTGCAACAAATAGTGGGAGTCCTACAGGTCTTCGGTTGGGTCGTGAGTCTCCAACAGTCAACCCTGGAGTCATTGCACTGCTTAGAGTAGCTCGGGATTCCCATTTTTTAGGTATCTGGATGATTTGCTCTTTAGGAGCAATCAATAGACAACCTTAAGTCCAGTGTGCAACAAATGGTAGAAGTCCTACCGTTCTTCAGCTGGGTCAGACTCTGGAGTTGTCACAATGCCAGAAGTATTTGGCCTCTTTCTGGACACTACCCTATCATGAGTTGTCCTTCCCCAGGAAAATCTTCAGACCCTTCGTTCCAAGGTACAGTAGTTATGTTCCCTGGAACTCCCCTCTCTGCTTTTGCATGAAGGTTCTGGGCTGATGGCTGCCTCCTTTGAGGCAGTTCAGTACGCCCCATGTACAGCATATGATCATCAAAGCAAGGTTAACATTGAAATGGTGGCTTTCCAGACCGTTGTCATAGTCAAGGATATATTTTCTCCGTGCACGTTGAAAGGTGCTAACAACAACACCAGTCTTTCAGGCTGCAGGGAGTTCAGATCTAAATTCTTACCTTTTGTTATTCTGAAGAAATAGATGTGTCTGTGTTCATGTGCAAAGTGAATGTGAATGTGGTGACTTTATAATTATCAATAAGCCGCTGCACTTGCACAGTTCTAAAGAGGAAAGTGGCAGGGTCTGAATACCTTTGGACATGATTTCCCTTTGGGAGTATTTCACCAAAAATTATATTTTTGTTACAGAGGATGCCCAAAATCTGACTTTTATTTTAGTGCAGACTTCTGGGAAAATCAGTACGCTAATCACAAAAGTAGGAAATTACATTTCTGGGGGGCATTCACTACATCATGTATAGAGAGGGTCTCTAGGTTGCCATATTGCATTGTATTTTACAGAAAGTTAGTGTTGAAAAGGATATGTTATTTTTAATAACATTCAATTAAAGTATGATGTGTGTGGCAAATGTGTATGCTATATACAGTGCTCAGCATAAATGAGTACACCTCTTTTGAAAAGCAAGATTTTAACCACTTGCCTGCAGGACATTTATACCCCCTTCCTGCCCAGGCCAATTTTCAGCTTTCAGTGCTGTCACACTTTGAATGACAATTGCGCGGTCATGCAACACTGTACCCATATGACATTTTTATCATTTTTTTTAGACCGAGCTTTTTTTGGTGGTATTTATTCACCTCTGCGTTTTTTTTTTTTTTTTTTTTTTTTGCTAAACAAACCAAAAACTGAAAATTTTGAAAAAAAAACTTTTTTTTTTTCTTAGTTTCTGTTATAAAATGTTGTAAATAAGTGTTTTTTCTCCTTCACTGATGTGCGCTAATGAGGCTGCACTGATGGGAACTGATAGGCTGCATTGATGAGGAGGCACTGGTAGGTGCAACTGATGGGCACGGATAGGCAGCACTCATATGGCACTGATAGGCGGCACTGACTGGCACTGTTAGGTGGCACTGCACACTGATAGGCGGAACTGACTGGCAGCACTGATAGGTTGCACTGACTGGCATTGATAAGTGGCACTGAAAGGCAGCTCAGATGGGCACTGATATGTGGCATTGATGTGCACAGGTAGGCACTGATATGTGGCATTGATGTGACACTTATGGGCACTAGCAGGTGGCATTGATGAGCACTGACAGCTGGCATTGATGGACACTGACAGGTGGCATTGATGGGGCTACCCTGATCATCAGCGCCCTGATGATCAGTGTACATGTCCCCTCTGAGGAATACCGATTGCCGGCTGTCCTCTCCTCGCGAGCTGTCAGAGCGACAACTCGTGAGGAGAGAAATGCCGTTATTCGGCATTTCCTTATTTACATGCGATCAGCTGTGATTGGACACAGCTGCTCACATAACAGAGCCAACGTCTTCAGGTCTTTCTGTTGATCGGTGATCCGTTGTGTTCAAGGGACACAGCACATCACCGATTGCCGCACTGTGCGCCCCCAGAGCCACACACGTGCGGTTAGAGTGGGAGGACGTCATATGACGTCCTCCCAGAATGAGCGAACCACCTTGCGCCTGTCATTTCCTTATATGGCGGGCAGGAGGCGGTTAATCAATATATTAATGAACTCAAGACTTTCCAAAATGTTGACAAAACTGAGTTTTATAGAACATTTGTTTAGTTCATTACATGAGTTAGGTTAATAATATAACTTGGATTACAAAATCTTCAGTTGTACTTACCGTATTTTTCGCTCCATAAGACGCACCTAGGTTTTAGAGGCAGAAAACAGGGGAAAAAAAATTCTGAACTAATGGACTGCAGACAGTACAGGAGATGACCAGAGACTGCGGACAGCACAGGGATGACCAGAGACTGCGGACAGCACAGGGATGACCAGAGACTGCGGACAGCACAGGGATGACCAGAGACTGCGGACAGCACAGGGATGACCAGAGACTGCGGACAGTACAGATGACTGCTGACCTTTGGGGAGGTGGGGAGCGGGAACCTGAATTTGACAGGTACCCGCTCTTACTTCCGCAGAGTTTTTGTTTGATCTTACCTGTTCCTCGATCCAGCCGCGCGCTGTCTTCCCATGTTCTGTAATGGCGCTTGGCATGACAGCCGGGTGCCCAGTGCGCATGAGCGAGAAGCACTTGCACTTTGTGATTGGTCCGGCGGCTTCTGGGATCTGTCATGTGTCCCAGGTACCACCTTACCATTCACAAAAAGCACCGCTTCTTGCGCATGCGCACTTGGCACCCGGCTGTCATGCCCAGTGCCCACACTACAGAAGCCGGAAGACAGCGCGCCGCTGGATAGAGGAACAGGTAAGAACAAAGAAGTAAGAGCGGGTACCTGTCAAATTCAGGTACCCGCTCCCCACCTCCCCAAAGGTCAGCAGTCTTCTCCATAAGGTCCCGCTGCAGAGCTGAGCGGCCGGCCCGGTATTCTGGCACGGCCGCGGTGGAAATACCGGACCGGCCGATCCATATTCGCTCCATAAGACGCACTGACATTTCCCCCCCTTTTTTGGGGGGAAAAAAGTGCGTCTTATGGAGCGAAAAATACAGTAAATTAAATCATGCAAAAATGAATATACCCCACAACAAAAACCTACTAAATTTAGTAAGACCTCCATGATTTGTAAGGACCGCACCAAGTCTTCTAGGCATAGAATGAACAAGTTGGCGACATATTGTAACATCTATCTTTTTTCCATTCTTCAAGAACAACCTCTTTTAGAGCCTGGATGCTGGGTGGAGTGATGCTCAACTTGTTTCTTCCGAATTCCCTATAGGTGTTTAACCAATTCAATACCGGGCAATTTTACACCTTCCTGCCTAGGCCAGTTTTCAGGTTTCAGCGCTCTCACACTTTGAATGACAATTTTCTTCACACAACTAGAGCTTTCTTTTGGTGGTATTTAATCACCGCTGGGGTTTTTATTTTTTGCTAAATTAACAAAAAAAGACCAAAAATTTTGAAAAAAACACGTTTTTCTTTGTTTCTGTTATAAAAGTTTACAAATAAATAATTGTTCTTCATAAATTTAGGCCAAAATGTATTCTGCTACATGTCTTTGGTGAAAATAACCCAAATTAGGATGTATTTTTTAGTTTGTAGGAAAGTTCACAAACTATGGTATAGATCTGAATATTGATCAGTCCTGAAGTACTGAAAGCCAATCTAATTTCTTGAGGTCCAAGAATGTTAGAACAGTACAGATATCCCCCAAATGACCCCTTTTTGCAAAGTAGACAGTCCAACGTACTTCATAAGAGGCATGGTGAGTTTTTTGAAGTTGTATTTTTTTTGTCATTTTTCGGAAAATGAAAAAATTTTAAAAAATTTGTTTCACGATTTTTTTTTTACATATTGTCACCAGTACAGTACAGTGTCATCCTATAACTGGCATGGTGGTGATCAGGGACACTGACTGGTGACAGTATGAAAAAAAAAAATTTTTTTTTTAATTAATTTTTTTTCATTTTTTTAAGATTTTTTTTTTTCATATTTCACTATGACCAAAGTAGTACAATGTTACCATAGTAACATTGTGCTACTTTTGGGGAAGTGATCAGTATTTTTTTTTTTTTTTTACACAATTTGCTTATAGCAAAGAATTACTTTGCTATAAGCAAGCATTTACCTGAATGACATCAATTCATTCAGGTTTTTTTTTTTTTTTTTTTGTGCTTAGCTGTGATTTGGCCACAGCTAATCACATGACATTTGCATGTGATTAGCTGTGACCATTCACAGCTAGACACTAGTATACAATGGATGGCATGAATGAAGCCATCCATTGTATACAACTGTCATGTGAATCACAGCAGGTCACATGGTACCGGCAATGGGGGCCGATACTCAGATCTGTCATTGGCCGTGTCCGAGGTACACGGCCGATGATCGCGCCGCTGCGCGATACTGCAGGAGTGCAATCTGCGCATGTGCGGAAGGACGCCATATGGCGTCCACCCGGAACGCTGATGACATTTGCCGGCCGCCGTTTCGGCCATAGGGCGGGCAGCAAATGGTTAACTGAGTTCAGATCAGGAAACATACAGTACTTGGCAACGGAATCACTTTCATCCTGTTCTTCTTCTTTAGAAATGCAACAGTGGCCTTGGATTTGTGTTTTGAATCATTGTCCTGTTGGAAAAGTGCATGACGACCAAGAGCACGGAGTGATGGTAGCATCTTCTCTTTCAATATGGAGCAGTATATCTGTGAATTCACGATGCCATGAATGAAATGCAGCTCCCCGATACCAGCAGCACTCATGTAGCCCCACAGAAGGACACTGCCACCACCATATATTACTGTAGGCACCATGCATTTTTCTTTGTACTCCTCATCTTTTCAATACAGTTTTGAAGCAATCATTTCCAAAAACATTTATCTTGGTCTCATCACTCCAGAGTACAGAGTCTCAGTAATGCTCTTCTTTTTCAGCATGGGCTCTGGCAAATTCTAGTCGTGCTTTTTTGTGCATGGGCTTTAGGAGAGGCTTCTTTCATGGACGACACCCATGCATGCCATTCCTCTGCAGTGTACGCCATATTGTGTCACGGGAAACAATCACCCCAGTTTGGCTTTCTACTGCTATAGCTAACTGCAGTGAACTTCATGGCGATTTTCTTCAACCCTCTCTGCAGAAGACACTACTGTCGATGTGTTAACGTCTGAGGTGGTTGCAGTTTTATCTTTGTTAAATTTTTGTATCAGTATTGCTGCAGTATTCTGTTAAGTAAAGCTTTACTGCCGTTGTAGCCTTCACCTTTCTTGTGTAAAGAAATTATTTTCTTTCTCAGGCCTTGTGACATTTCTCTTTCATGTGGTGCCATTGCTACAGCATAAAATGGGAAGGGTTTTTTTTTTAACCACTTCCCGACCGGCCGTTGTATATAAACGGCCGGACGGTGGCACTGCAGGGTCGGGTGGCCGTTTATAAACGGCCTCCCCGCACCCTTCTTGTACGCGCTCCCCGGGAGCACACAACACCGCGATCCTGTGCCTGCTGTGTCCTCCGGACACAGTAAAACACCGATCATCGGATGGGACCTCTGTACGAGGTCCCGATCATGTGATCACTGATTGGCCAATCAGTGATCACATGCAAAGTAGTAAGCAAGATGTCACTTTGACATTATTTCTTACTACGTGTGAAATCTGTGAATGATCACAGAGGTCACATGGTACAAGGCTATTCACAACAGCCTGTACCATGTGACAAGCTGTGACCAATCACAGCTCACTCAGTAGTCCTCAATGGCTGCAATAATGCAGACAGAGAGAAAGAGAAATGATAGCTTTTACATCCTATATGGGTGTAAAAGCAATCAGTGTAAAAAAAAAAATAAAAAAATCTTCATCACCCCCCACAAGTAGTACAGTGTCACCATGGTGACACTGTACTGCTAGGGTGACAGTATGTAAAAAAAAATATAAAATAAAATAAATATAACAAAAAACAGAAATGTAAAAAAAAAGTTTAAAAATTTATAATTTATGGTTATAAACTAATTTTGGCTTTTTTTTTTTTTTTTTTTTTTTTTTTTTTTACTAAAAAGATAATGGAATAAATTTTGGCCAAGATTTATGATGAAATATTTAGTTTCAAAATTTTATAAGAAAAACACTTTTTGGACATTTTCATTCACATAGCAAAAAAAAATAAAAATCCCAGCGGTGAATAAATACCACCAAAATAAAGTTTTATCTGTCTCAAAAAAAGGGTAAAAAATTCATATGGGTACAGTGTTGCATGACCACGCAATTGTCATTCAAAGTGTGATGGTGCTGAAAGCTGAAAATTGCCCTGGTCAGGAAGGGGGTAAAAGTGTCCGGACTGAAAGTGGTTAAGTAACGTCCTTTTATAATCAACTGTAAGCTGGACACCTGTTTAATGTATAATTAGACTCACCTGTAGTTGAATTCTTGTTAGTTAGGATTTTGTTGTCTTAACCGCTTCCCAACCCTGCTATAGCTGAAACACGGCTACAGTGCTGTTGTTCAGTTCTGGGAGGGTGTCTATTTATGTCCTCCCAGAATGCGGCCCCCAGCAGCATGCATCCGGTGCTGTTGGTGATAAGGTAAAAGGCCAGTCACAGCGACCTTTTACCACATGATCAGCTGTGTCCAATGACTCAGCATATCACAATGTTAATACAGTTGCCGGTTATTGGCATAACTTTCCTTAGGCTGTCACAGAGTGAGGGAAGTACTACTGCTGATAACCGGCAAATGTAACGGGGGA